ACGGTTTACGTTTACGTTTAAGTTAACCTTTAACTTAACGTTACGTACTTTAGTTTCGTTACGTTAGTTAGTAGTAGTAGTAGTAGTAGTCGACGAGTACTACTACTACCTCTCTCTCTCTCTCTCTCTCTCTCTCTCTCTCTCTGAGTTGCACATGCACACGCAAGTTAAAATACACAGGGAGAGTCGATTTATTTAGTGCTGGAAAATTGAATTTATATCATATTGTTTATCACGGTTGTTTTCGCTTGCATTATAGGTCATGACGACATTTATGCCGCCACCTCCTGCAGCTACCTTTTTGGCGTTTCACCCTCAGGATAATAACATCATCGCCATAGGGATGGAGGACTCCACAATTCAGATATATAATGTTCGAGTCGATGAGGTGAAAATTCTTTAATTTCTGTTCTTTTATTTCTCTTATTATGACCTCAGGATTAAATGCTTATGCCTTGAATTTCTCAAAAACAAAAAGAAAATGCTTGTCTTGTAAGTTCACAATTATCTTATTTGAACATATTGTGGGATTATGGATATGTACGTAGATGTTTGACTGGAGCCTAGAATGGCATTAATTTACTCTAATATGGACCTTGAATTCAAAATTGTCTACTAATATATAGGGAGGATTTTGTTTGAAGTGCAAGAAGGAATAAGAATTGGGTTATTCTGTGATTTGTTTACCTTTTACCCTCTTCAAGATTATAGTAACTGTTTATCCTGCTCTCTATTATACTGGTCTGCTATCAGGTGAAAGTTAAGCTCAAGGGTCACCAAAAGAGGATCACAGGCCTTGCATTTTCACAAACGCTGGGTATCTTGGTCTCCTCTGGTGCGGATTCTCAGGTAAAGAACTCTGCTCAGATCAATCTTGAATAACTTGAATTCTGGAGGATTGTGAACAAAAGATGGTCACTCGGAATTTGGGCCTTTTAGTGCAAAACATGATTTAAATGTATTGAGTCCAGAAATGTGCATCTTTTTCATTTATTCTTCATGACCTTCATGGATGATGTAATCATCCCTTGAACAATTGGCATTTGCTATAATTTCAGCTTTGTGTGTGGACCATGGATGGATGGGAGAAGAGGAAGTCAAGATTCATACAGTCCCCTGGAAATCGGCCCTCTCCTTCTCCTTCGAGTGGGGAGACTAGAGTTCAGTTCCACAATGATCAGACCCATCTACTAGTTGTCCATGAGAGTGTCATTTCAGTTTATGATTCAAAGCTCGATTGCTTGCGCTCTGTAAGTTACACTGCCCTTTTCCTCCACCTTCTCCGTCTCACTCATGTGTGTGCACACAAGGGGGAAGAGAGAGAGAGAGAGAGAGAGAGAGAGAGAGAGAGTACTATAACAACTAAGTTGTACGTGGTGCTAGTACGAACGACGGTCCGGACCCGACGACGTACTACCGTACCGTACCCCGACCCTATTACTTCGTTCG